GAAAAAAAATAAACAGTGTCATATTGAAAGCGCATTTGCAGCTTATTTAGCAAAAAAGAAAATAAAAAAATAATCAAAATTGGATTCGACAGCTAACAAAATTCCAATCTCATGATCATTTTCGGCTACGCTTATGCTTTTTATCGATCGTACGAACGACCCAGTCCCCCCTTCTCCTCTTTCCCTTCTCAATCAAATCAATCAAGATTTTCTTACGAATTTTGTGCTCATCACACAGGTCGCGTTGGATGTCCACACTTTATGGCACCGGAAGTGATTCAACGTCGACAATATGGGAAACCAGGTGACGTTTGGTCGGCCGGTGTTCTCCTTCACGTTTTATTAACCGGCACCTTTCCATTTATGGGTTCTCGTGATAGACTACGGGAAGCAATTTGTAGAGGACGAGTTCAGGTATTGTTTGATGAATCTTTTTTTTATTTTTCTTTCTTTCTCACATTTCAAATGATATTCATTTTGTATGAAATGTTTGAAGAAAAGAAAGAAAGAAATAAACAAAAAGATGAKATGACACGAGATATCTTTGTCAATAATAACATTTTTTAATAAAATTTGCAGATGGAAACACCGTTATGGGACTCTATTAGTGAACCAGCCAAGGATCTCATACAGAGAATGTTAACGACGGATGTAAATCATAGGATTACTATTCAAGAAGTTCTCAATCATAAATGGCTCAGAGTGAGTAACAAAACAAGCTCCAGTTGCACGTTTGCACGACGACTTCTTGGTGACGATGTCGATCCATTAGGAACGACATACAACGTTTTCTACGTACGATCATCTACGTCATCGATATGTTATGAGAGAAAAAGAAGCAGCGAGAGGGAGAGAGGAAGGGAGATAGAGAGAGAGAGAGAGAGAGGGAGAGAGTGATAATAAATCACTATGGCATAGGCAACATTATATAAAGAGCTATGAAATAAAAATAATTCCGATCGAAGGGATCACACTTTGTTGCTTGGAAAATATATCTACAGGGTGGTTTCATTTTTATTTTCATTTTTTCTTTTTTTTATATATATATATATATATTTTCTTCGTCTCTGGTTCGTTTCAACGTGTATTTTTATTTTAATTAAATCCATCTTCGTTATTTGGATTATAATAACGTTAGATCGAAACACATTCTTTTGACATTTCTTTTTCGGTATATTATTATTATTATTATTATTATTATTATTATTATTATTACTATTATTATTATAGTTTGCCATTTCTTGGCAACGTGGGTGCGTGCGCAAATGTTATAACCGTGCGTGAGGTACGGTATTTAGTCAGTGACCTAAGCAAGACTCGACGTTACGTGTACCCAGCCCTCTCCTCCTTTCCTCCCTCTTTTCTCCATGTGTGTATCGATGTAATACACGTGCAAGTGGGTTATCGATCGTTATCGTGAGGGCAAAGCTCCAGCGGTTAATGAAAATAACCATAGTAAAGTATACCTTTAGCCGCGCCACTTAACGTTTTTTTTTTTCTTCTTTTCTTTTCTTTTCTTTTCTTTTTTGCACATTGCCGCGTGTTCGTAGAATATATACACACATACACACATATTCATATATGACTACTTAAGTGCCTACCTACGCCTACACTCATACGAATTACCGAGGGCAGCAGCTTCGTAGCAAACCGTTAGGTTCATCGTTTACTTTTTCCTCGGCTTGACTCTAAACGAAAACTACGTTGCTTTTTATATACTTATGTATGTATGTATGTATGTATGTATGTATGTATATGTAAGTTTATGGTTTCTATATAAAATGTTGAGTACGTTTCTTTTTTCTTTCTTTTCTTATCTTTTCTTGTCTTTTCTTTTCTTTTCTTTTCTTTTCAAATGGCGAGATTTTCGTGCGAAAACTTTTAACCATTTTCTTGATAAAACCGACATCTATTATTATACTTTTATCGATAAAATTATGCAAGTATTGCCTTACAAGTGGGACACCCGCTTCTTGACACGACGCACCTTATTACAAAGGCAACTATGTAAAATATGCTACATCGGACCAACCGATCGATGTTCTACGACAATGTGTCATTATCTAAGACACGAGTATTTATTTATTATATCTAACTATATATGTTAAACTCGATTTTATTTTAGTTTGGGGACGTGTGCAAGCGCAGATGTAAACATAACATTTGTTCGATCGTATTTTCAAGGGTCTCTTTCATTTGTATTTGAACGTTTGAACAAGAAGGACGTATGTCAACTAACTAAAACTTTTCAATAAATTACAAGAGTGAAGGGGGGATGGTATCATCAATTTTCTATGAATAAATGAAATTTGACAGGTGTCGCATTTAATTGAATATAATATACATACGTACATAAGTAATTATATATAATATTGATAACTGTATAACAGTAATAATTATTTGCATAGTTTGATTATGTGTGTGTATATGTGTGTATATATGTATGTATATAGGTCATATCATTTATATATTTATATACATAAATTATTTCATTTGACAGGATCGCGATAAGGGAGCAGCACGGGTACATTTAGGTGACACTATAGAAGAACTTAAAAAATTCAACGCCAGACGAAAATTGAAAGATGCGGTAAAAGCAGCTATATCTTCAACAAAGTGGCATGCCCCATATTCGGAAACCAATGGCGACAGTTTTTCCGATGTCGGTGACGACGAGGTAACGGCTACAGGTATGCTGCTTACACATACAATTTTTCAACTAAATGACAACACATTGATGATTATTCTAATGTATATTATTTTTTTTTCTTTTTGTATTTTTATGAAATACAGGAGCTGTCGCTGAAATTTTGGACTCGCTCGACGATATAGAAGTATTGCAAGAAAGTGGTAGACTGACGCGCGGTGAAATTCTTAACGCCGTCGAGGACTATCGCCTTCGTGCTATTTTAGAGGTACGCTATTATTACACGAATAACAACACACTAATGAGATCGTAATAAACAGGGGGAGAGTTTTCTATTGATAGAAACAAGGTCGTAACTAAGGGAACAGATTTCACGGATTTATTCCAAATTTAGCGCTAACAGAACGTGTGTGTTGTTACGTGTGTGACAATCCCTTTTCGACCAATTTTCACTTGGTAAAACTGATACTGATAAGAGGGGTAGTTTTACGGGATCGGTTGTGAACAATGTAGATAATACGTTTTCATTGGGTAAAACAGAGAAAGACAATTTTACCATGGCACGATGAACTATGTTGATACCTTAAAGGAAAGTCAACCTATTTCTATCTTTTATCGATCCTCAATGTAATGTCGATGAGGTTACTCCCTACATTTTCACGAGATCTCTGCAACGAGTAACTAAAGTGATTCAGAAATGTTCCTCAACCACCGGTACAGCGCCACCGTCTTCCACGTTGAGCCAACCATTCCTACTACCCTTTTATTTCCTCCCTCACCTTCGAATCCCCGTAGGGAAAATGCAACAACCCCGTACGTATCGTACTTACCTACCTACCACCCTCTTTGAACTTTCGAAAATGGCGCAAGCGCTGTTCGCTACGTTACCAAGATGGCCGAGCTTTGAGCTCTGATAAACAAAATCCCACGTACTCCATCGTGGGGGGGTTGTCGCGTTATTTCATCGACACGGCGAACATTGTTATTGTTGTTGTTGTTGTTGTTGTTGTTATTGTTGTTTTTGTTGTGCTGAATAAACTCGGTGGTTATTAAATCTGTCCATTCTCACACGTGCAATTTAATGCAACCTTAAACGAAACCCATAACAAAAAGTAGCATGATCTTATCCTACGATCGATACTTCATCATCTTAATCGTTTTAACTTTGAAAAATGCATATCTGTCAATTAATGTTCTTTGGCGAAGCCGAATTGGCAGCCGATTTGTTAGAAATTGCTGGTCTATTGGTGAGTTTATAATCATTTGTTTAAAAATAATTTATTTCAATAGATAATAATTCATTTCGTTTGATACATCTGATGGTTTATGTACGAACAATTCGATCTATGTTTCCAAATTTGTTGATGATCATAAACCAAACAGATAAAACGATGGGATTTCGTTTATGGTTTCGTTTGATATGTTATTTTTTTTTTTTTTTAAGGAAAATATTAAATTTGTTTTTCTCTTCAGGTTAAATTGATTGGAAATAAATGGTTTTTTTTCAGCTTTACGACAGGATCTCAAGTCGCGTGCCAACACCATGCCGAGCGCCGCAAACGGACGCTGTTCAACGTGCGCGGGAAGTGGAAGAGATCCTTCGGGAAGCTGAACACTCGACTGTACGAAACATCGATAGGGCCGATCTTCGAGAACTTCAAGAACTTTTGATGCAACCACATATGAGGGTAAGTACCTTAACAAATATTATACAAAATTATTTTTATTAATAAGGAGAAATTTAACTCATCAATTTACGCTTTCTACGATATATTTCAAAATGAAATCATCAAACACTGTTCATAGGTAATAAAAATAGTATCAATGATTTACAATCGTAATAAACGAAATAAAAAATACGAAGACAGCGAATGAAAGGATCGCGCTCAGGGACGGGACCAATGGCCCCGGGATTTGGTATTTACGGCAATGAACTTTCGAGTTCCTAATGCCAGTTAATAATAATAATTATTATTATTATTATAATAAATGAAAAACAATTAAATGATTTTAAGTTGCATATTTTTTTGCAACGTCCAATTCGTAGGAATCAGTTCGTACAACTAATCGAAACTAACATGAAACAAAAGATACCAAAGAAATAAAAAAAAAAGAAAACACGTCGCGATTGGTGTTTTCTTTTTTTTTTGCTAGGAACGTGGATGATTAAAAAATTCGTCAACAACTTTTATCTTTGCCATTGGGGTGGTTCTCATTTTCGTTTAGGTTACTTACTCATACTACTACTGCTATTACTTAAACCTTTAACTTCTCGTAACTTTTTTTCTTCGATACATCAGAGATATATTTGTATCGTTTATCCTACCAATGTAAAGAAGAAGAAGAAGAAGAAGAAGATGATGACTACCTTTGGTTGACTAGTAGAGTATATTTACCTCGTAATTTGACATTGCTTCTGATATCTTCGTAAATAGGGCATGGAAATGTAGGTCGATCGTTAAAATTCTCATTTAAAAATCCCGTAGTTACCGTTGCGAGGAGGATCAGAGGGTTCAAGGGAAAGAGAGGGATATAGAAAACGAGAGAAACAGAGAGAAACGAGATAGAATGAACTAGCGGGAGAACTACTAAAAGTCTAGGATTGGTGAGGAAAAACGAAGTGGAATAGTAAGTGGTGGAGGAGCTGAAGGAGGTGGTGGACGAAGAGAAGCCACGTGAAAGACAGGAAAGGTAGTAGAGAGCTTTGGGGAAAAAGAAAAATACACGAAAAAAAAAAAAGAATAAATGAAACCTCCTTCTTCTCCTCTTTCCCCACCCCACCCCCTCAAAAAAGAAAATAAAAAGAAGAAGATCGATTCTCGACGAAATGGAGGGGGTGGTGGTAGTAGAAAATTAAAGTTCGAAGCTTTCTGCTGTTTAGATAAAATATATACAGAGTTAAAATTTATTTTTTTACTTTGTTTTTTTTTTTATTTTTTAATTGTATTCTTTGTTTTTTTGTTTTTATCAAGCAAGCACTAAATTTGTTTGAAATTTTGATCGTGAAAATTTAGAAATGATCTCGATTAACCCCTTTGATTGGTGAATACTTTTAACTTATGGTAAATGTTTTGTAGGAATGGAATAATTTATTAATACTAAATTATATATTTAATAATTCAAGTTTTTCTTTTTGAATATAATTTCATTAATTAATATAAACATTACATTATATTTTACATTAATATTAACAAACACGTATATGCGTCCATAGAATTGTAAGGGTTAATAATGGGGGTTTATATTGAACAAAAATAATCTTCGCGGTTTTAACAGACATATATATATGTGTATGTATAAGTATACTGTATATACTGTATAACTGTATCGTTGAATCGTCCTTCAAACGTCGAGATATTTGGCATTCTGTTCTGTTTCCGGTAAGATCGATATGGCGCCCCACTTCGATTAATATGAATGGTGCGTACGAAAATAGTTTAGATGTCTGTCTCGACCATGTTTAATTGTGGGGATTAAGGGTTGGGGGTAGTAAAATATAATCAGAAGATCCGCATTTAACTATAAACCAATTTGAAATAATTTATGAAGTAAAAAGGATTATTTTTGTTGAAGAAAATTTCGGTCAATGTCGTTGTTGTTTTTTTATCCTACCCTCACCACTCCCCAATCATTTCGAATCATCTATCGAATAAATGCATATAAAATTGATATATATATATATATATAAAGAAAAATATAGTTTTTACAGTTTACTTTTTTAAATAGAAAATAAGATAGAAGAATATGAATTAATTTTTGATGAATTATTTTGTATACGTTTCGAATTTCTATTTGAAAGTAATTTCCTTGCAAAAAGTTAAAATTCGAAATTCAATTGGACAGTATATACATATATATATATATATATATATATATAGAATAACTAGCATCGTTGAAATGAGTTTTATCTTGTTTTCTACGAAGGGTAGGCGTTGAGATTCAACCGGAGAAATTCCTGAAAGTCCGGAAAATCGGTAAATGAAAAACAATGAGATTAGTAGAGGAAGGTACTAGAGAAGGTGGAGGAGGAGGAGGAGGAGGAGGGGTAGGGGAGGGAAGATGGGTAGGAAATGTGCATTTAAAACGGTTCGCGAATAATAGACTTTTCCTCTTCGGCGTCTAAAGTTAAACAATTAATTCAGGTTTTTCGTTTTACTAGAGTAAAGGTATTACAGTTTCATGAATGAGATGTTAAAATGGTATAAGTGAAAACTAGAATAAGTAGTAGTAGTAGTAGAACTAAGGAACAAAATTATTTGTTAGGTCAGTATCGATTCTCGAGAAAATCACGAGTTAATCGTCAGCCTACACTTGTTGCACGATATATACGGAAGGCTCGGTTTTACGACACACTCGTCACACGAAATTCCAGCAAGTTTCTCACGTGCTTTTCCCTACGTGGAATTCTATCGTCTTGTTTACCAGTTATCCAAACGAGAAACGCGTTGATACGAATTTTGATTTGGGGGAAAATTTTAAATTCTTCTATCGATTGTACAAATATTTATTACTTCTTTTTGTTTATATTTGAACGTTTTTATTTAATCATTTTGAGTTCTAAATACTTTTAACCAAAATGTTTTGTAGAAACGAAATTTAATTTAAAGTTTTTGCTTTTGAATATAATTGAATTAATTAATATAAACATTATATTATTTTACATTAATATTAACAAACACCTATATGCGTCTATAGCACTTTAAGGGTTAAATCTATGAACACTAGAGATAGATACAAAAAATTACGTGATAAAATTATATTAAATTATCAAATATAAATTAATTATCTTTAAATTAATATAATTTCGTACAATTAAACGTGATAAAAATTTCAATTGAAATTCATTGACAATAGACGATAGTTTTAATGAACGAATATTAAGAAATATTATTGTTCCAACGTGATTAACCAAAAACGTCTCGTGACTATTATATCAACCGAGAATTGGAGTAACACAATCGGATAAAGGAAGATAACAATAGTGTGTATGTATGTATGTGTGTGTGGTGTCTTACAAAGAGAGAGAGTAGTAGACAGTTAATTACTTAGAAGTTAGGTCCTTTTCCATTGAAGTTGATCGTTAGTAACTATACAGGTTCAGACGAAAGTCCTGGGCTAGCTTGCGGTTAATGGTTTCGAGTTCGTAAAGCAAGTAACGTGTTCCTGAGATGATCGGAGAGTTGAATGAATGGAATAAATCGTGAGGAAACCGTTTGGAGGATCGATTCTACTGATAGTCTTTGTGTTATTGTGTCGTAGGATTGTTTCAATCAAAGTTTATCTAACGATCGGTCAACGACAACTAGGATAATTGGCACGATAAGTTGAAGTTTCCCTTTCTCCATTTCGATAAAAGAAAAAAAGAAAAACAGCAGAGAAAGAAAGAGAAAGAAATTAACCAAACTAAACTGAGAAAACAATAAAAAAAAACAAAACCACGAGGGTAAGTCGAGGGTGTGTTAATCGGGGTTCACGGTTGTTCCGTTAAATTACCACGATTGATTCGTTTTGTATAGTTAAGTTCCCTAGGGACCGATAGTAACCGCAGTTCTGTTAGTGACAGCGATAGGGATGAAGAAGAAACAAGACCGGAGTCGTCCGCTCGCTGTCTCGCGCGCGTCCAACGGGGGTGGCTCGTTTCGTTTCGTTTCGTTTCAACGTGGCGTGGCGTGGCGCGCCGTGTCGCATGTTGGACGATGGAGGGGTGGATAGGAGGAGGAAGTGACGTTGTGGGGGGTGGGTGGTCTGCCACCCTGCCTGCTTGCCTGCCTGCTTGCCTGGTGGTGGTGGGCAAGGGCGCGGGCGCCAGGGCAACGGGGAGCTAGTGTGCCGCAGAGCGCAGATCGAGACCGACGCGGTTCCGCACGCCTCTTCTGCGTCACCGGTGCTGTTGTTTCTATCTTTCTATCTCTCTCTTTCTCTTTCCCCCTTTTTTCCTTTCCAACCCTCTTCTTTCTCTTCGTTTCCCTTTTTTTTGTCACGCTCATCCCAGTTTTCCCTTTCTTCCTTTCTCATCAACACCACCACCACCACCATCACCACCACTACCACTACCACTACCACTACCACTACCACTACCACTACCACTACCTATCTACCACCACCGTCATCATCGTCATAACTCGCGCTCATAGGCACGTGTGCGTTACGTCCGGTCAAATGCGAACAAACGTTTTACACTCGTGTGAAATTCGTTAGCTCTTTTTGTTTTTTTTTCTTCTTCTTCTTTGCTTTTTATTTTCTTAGCTCCTTTTAACTGCTCGAGTTTCTTTCTTTTCATCTGTCGACGGAATCATGCCGTGTGAGAAAAAAAAAACAACAGCAGCAGTAGCAGTAGCAGCAGCGTATGGTGGAACGCAGTTGAGGGTGGTACGCGCGCGGGATACGCCGTAAACAGCCGGTACCGTTAGCGAGCTTTTAACCACTGCGACCTCTCGCGAGCATTTTCCATCTGACGCTTATGAGACACCCTTTCCCTTTCCCTTTTTCATTCTCTTCTCTTCTCTTCTCTTCTCATCTCTTTTCTTCCCTTTCTATCCCTTCTTCTCTTCTCTTTTTTCTACAACATTCGTTAAATCGCGTGTGACCGTGATCGTGCGTGTATATGTGTGAATAATCAAACACTATTACATGTATTTAGTGTACTCAACACATCCCCTAACTTCTTATTTGTGATCAAACTTACAATGAACAATTTCTCGTGTTAGAAACATTTGACCGGAAATTGGAA